ATGATTAAGGGTCACATGGGGTGAGGGGGGGTTAAGGATTAAGATGGGGAGATGATCCTGGATTATCTAGATGCACCCAATGTAATCACCAAGGTTCTCATGGGAGGGAGTTAGGAGAGTCAGAGAAGGAGATGTGATGATAGAAGCAGAGATCAGAGTGATGCACAGTCATGAGCCAAGGAACCTAGGCAGCCTCCAGAAGTTGGAAAAGGAAAGAAAATTCTCCTTTACAGCTTCCAGAAGGAATGCACCACTGCCAACTCCTTGATTATAGGACTTTTGACCTTCAGAACTATAAAAGAATAAATTTGTTTTATGCCCCCAAGCTTATGGCAATTTGTTATAGCAGCAATAGGAAATTAATACAGGAGGACTCAACAGGGTGTTTTCAACTTGACAAGTATGGTTTAGTGAGCAAGAATGTTGGAGTAACAACTGGTGGGAATTTTCAAAGAGTCGGTTACTATACAGGTTTTTCTTGAGAGCCTGCTATCAGCTTGGAACTGAGACCTCAGTGGTGGACAAATAGCCATGGGCTCTGCTGATGTGGAACTTACAGCCACAAGAGGAAGACCGGCATTAAACCAAAAATTGCTATTAATTAACTTCAAGAGTACAATGTACTATAAAAGGAATACTGTGTGATGCTATGAGAGTGATTAAAAGGAGACCTAGTCCATCTGGATGGTCAGGGAAGGTTTTCCTGAGGATGTTTAAGGCAGACTCTAAGGATGAGCAGGAGTTAACTGTCTCAGGTTGGTGGGGGTGGGAAGAGCCTTTCAGACAGGAGGAAGAGTATTTCCAAAAGCTCTAGGCAGACAAAACATGGCATTTTAAGGAGATAAAATAAATGCAGTATTGTTGGAGCAGACTAAGTAAGAGCTAGGGCTGTATAAGAGGAAATGGAGGGGTGACTAGGAGCTAGACTAGGCAGGGCCTTCTAGGCCATTGAAGGAGAGTGTCATGGCCATATTTACCTTTTAAAAGATCACTTAGACTGTAGTAGATGACAGAGTGGAGTGAGAGGCAAGAGAAGATGCTGGGAGACCAGTTCTAAGGGCACTGCAATAGCCCAGGTGAGAAGAATGGTAGCCCTGGCCAGGATGGTAACAACTGTTAGGATGGAGAGAAGTAGAAGGATTTAAGAGACATAGAGGACAGAATCAAAAGACTTGGTGATTGACACAATGTGAGAGGTTACAGAAAGGGAGGTATCAAGAATGAAGTCTAGACTCTTAGTTTAAGCAACCTGCTCAGCAGAGCTACCATTTTCTAAGGATGGGAATAATACTGGAAGAGAAGAATTTTGGACGGGAAGACCATGAGAATAATTTTGACATGTACAGCTTAAGGGGGTCACTGAGACATTCCAGTGGAAGTGCCAAGTAGGCATTTGCATGTATAGGGGCAGGAGATTCAAGTTTGGGAGTCAGAAATTTAATGGTAAGTGAAGCCATGCGGGTAGTGGAGATTGCCTAGGAAGAGAGAAGCAAGTAAGAGCTCTTAGGAAAGAGCTCTAAGGAACCCTAAGATGAAGCAGAGGATCAGATGTCAGAAAAAGAAACCTGGAAATGAGTAGCAAGCAGGGAGAAAAACAAGGAGGGCGTGAAGCCACTGAATTCAAAGGAACAGAGTTTTGCAACAAGGAAGAAGTGACCATGAGGTCAAGGAAAATAAGGACTAAAAAGTATCCCTTGTTTGTGAAAATCATTGGTGACCACATGAATTTGATGGGGGGAGGGATGGGAACAGAACCTAGGAATTGTCATCTCTTCTGAGTGTTTCTGGCAGTCGTTAGAACAGGGTCTTCTAGAAAAGCCACATGGCAGTGAGAAGTCCACCGCAAAATTACACATGCACATGTACTTTGCCCTCATGGAAAGAAAAATGTAGGTGGTGGACAGGACTCCAGATCTTCACTGCACTTCTTTGTTCACTTGTCTCCTTGGCCAGGATTACTCCACCACTTGCTCTACCTCTTAGCTCCCTAGTCCTCGCTTGCTGCCATCTTGGGCTCCAGCCTTGATTATTCTGAGACTTGAACCATGAACTCACCCTCTCTTTCTCTTTCTTCCTTTCATTTTCCTAGTGTTATTAGAGAGATTTTGTGTTTCCACGCAATTTGAGTTAATCAACATTTTATTGCAACTGTTTCTTATCCAGCGTGTATGTATGCAGTAGCTCTTCACCAGGGACATACATGGCCAGTCCTGTGAGCAAAGGACACAAGGATATTAGGTAGGTGAGTTCAGGGAGAAGTTTAAGGGGGGCGCAGGATATTTTAAGTATTTTACCTCATGAGGAGCCTGGAAGGCTATTAGAAAAGCCAGAAGAGTTGCCACAGGTTGAAGATTTAAATGATGGGAAGAGAAAATGTTCCTCTACTTTTTTTGCCTACTGAAGTTCAGCTTACACCTAATTCAGATGGAGTTCCTTGACCATGACTATGAGATATATATAGGAATCCAACTTTCTCTGCCCCATGAAGCAACAGAGCATAACAATGGGAATAGGAACAGGTATTCCTCAGGTCATGCTGCCAAACAAAACTTACCCAAGACAAAAGTGACTTTCTCACTGAAACCAAAGTGACAACAGGAATTCTGAGAAGAAAAAAAAATGCAGTGAAAGAATGAAGCCATTTTGAGGGGAGGTAATACATGAAGAAAAGGGTTATACAGGGAGAAAAAGAATACAGTTCTGGCTTATGAAATAAGCTTGAGTGCTGAAACAATAATTGGAGTAATTGGCAAATAATATCAGAGTTCTGAGCTCAGTTTTGAACACAAACATAGCTTTTTGCAAACTTGGGGGTGGTTTCCTCCCTTTCACTATTTCCTTTGCTCTTCAGATTTGGATATTATTCTCTGAAGTAAAACAAAATTATTTTCTCTCATTTTCTGGAAAGCTCTGGTCCTAACTCTTCCCTTGGGATCTATTGAATAAGTTAGTACTTAAGGAATGATAGCCGCGGGTGACTACACTGACATCAATAAATAATTGAGTATTGTAGTCAGAGTTCTTCTCATACACTCATGATCTCCTTTTTAGAGATCAGCTGAAGTCCAGCTCCTCTCACTTTACATATGAGGAACTGGGCATGGAAAGATGAAGCAATTTTCCCAAAACCACAGAGCTAGTTTGTGGCAGATGTAGGCCTGGAACTTCAAGGTCAGGTGTCAACGAGGCTATGCTGTCATGCTCAAATATATCGGAACAGCAGCAGCCCCCATAACTGAAAGCTTCCTGAGGCTAGGAGGGCACCATCTCCAGTTCTCACAACAAACCTTTAAAGGAGGCTTTAGCACTCCCATTTTCTAATGAGAAAACCAAAGCTCTAAGAGGTTAGATAATTCACCTGAGACCACACAGACAGTAAATAATATGGAACAGTCTGATCTTGAGGGAAGACAAGGAGGGATCATCAGTATCTAGGGATGATCCTACACCTCAGCAGGAACAGGTGATGGCCTGGCCTGATGTCATGAGGAATGCCTAAAGGCCTACAACCACCAAAATTATCAACCCAACTCCTTGGCCATGGTGCCTAAAGGTTGCACTTGGAGCTACTGCTAGGAAACAACAGAGTCTTGAGGGAATGGGACCCTGAAGAGTTATGTTTTGTTGAGAAGGGAAACTATAAGAAGCAAGGAGAACTTTTCAGGCCCAGTAGGATGATACCAGTCATGTGGAGGCAGCATGAAGAGAAGGGGTCTCTGGAGAAAGAATCAATACTGCCCAGCTCAGACTGGTATTTAGAATGAGGCTGGGTCTTTGAGCCCCTAACTGGGTGGAGGCGCTTGTGGAGCTTGATAGCACACATTTATAGAACTTGATCAGTATGCTGTGACTGTATTATTTTTGGAGGGTGTCCATAATTACATGCAACTGAATTAATAACCCTAGGCTCAAGATACACAGGCCCATGCATGGTTCTCTTTTAAAATAAATACATAAATAATATGAACACCCATGAACTCAACACCCAAACCCCAAACTAGAACAGTTGATGGAGCTGTCTGACAATCCCAAATTTTGAAGAGGATGATATAGATTAACATCTCTTATTCATCCATTGGAGTATAAATTGGATTAATCAAGTTGCATTATCTCAGAGTGTTAAACATTCTTACAGAATCCATAAGCCTGTCCAAAAATAACATTCACATCAACACTGGTTACTATTTGTATTCACTAGCTAAATAACTAAAAAGAAGGAAGGAAGGAGAGAGAGAAATGAAAAACTACAAGCAGCCAAAATTACTCCTATGCCTACACACATAATATAAAATAAATCTTTGTAATATAATACAATACTAAGTGCAAAAAGCCAGTTGCAAAAGTCTTCTTACAGCTCAGTACTCTTATTCTGAAGTTCCACACAATAGAAATGAAATAATGTAAGCGTACATATGTGCATGATAAAGTAATTGTTTGTAAAAGCCAGGAAAGGATACAATTTTGGGTAGTATACACAGGGGGCCAAAAGTGCTAGGAAAATGCCTCATTCTCCACTCCCACAGGAATGGGTGGACAGATATCCCAGCTCCCTTGCCTCTCTGGCTAGGAGAATGCAGACGTGTGTCAGGAGCTTCCAAGAGCCTCCCCAGTGGGGTGGAGCTGCAGTGACCTGTGGGGTAACTTGCCTGATTGCAAGCCCTCTGATAGCTGACGTCCCTGCACCCCGGTGTTGTTTGCTTGGCATCATCTCACAAATAAGCGACTTGCACCCACTCTGCTCTGGGGAAAAATCCAAACTAATCTCATATCTAAGATCTTAATGAGGACACTTTTAGCTTGAACATGGAACTCTGGAAACATTCATGGAAGAGCCAGTTTTAAATGTTGAAAGTAGGAGCTCACCTAGGTGCTTTTACTAACAATCCAGTATTATACGTCATCCAGGTATGAGCTAGGGGTGCCTATGCTGCCAGGGACTGAAGTTAAGTGTCCTTTCCTGCTCTCATTCTCTTTTTTGTCTGTCCCCACCCCACCCTCAGATCCTACAGTCCACCACAGTCTCCAGCAGTCCCCAGGATTTCTGCTGGAACTATGTTCTCTGAGATACCTCTGCCATTTGGCTCTTCTTCCTGCATAGCTGCTGCTGAACTGGACAACTCCTTCACTGGAATCTGCCAGGAATAAATCACCCCAAACAAGCATTTTTGTGAATGAAGTACCAGTTACAAAATTGGTGGGGCCCTGGCCCAGTGGCTCAGTTGGTTGGAGCATCATCCCCATGCACCAAAAGTTTGCAGGTTTGATCTCTGGTCCCAGCATGTATGGGAGACAACAGATTAATGTTTCTCTCTCATACTGATGTCTCTCTGTCTCCCTTTCTCTCTCTCTAAAATCAATAAATATATCCTCAGGTGGAGAACATTATGCTAAGTGAAATAAGCCAGTCAGAGAAATACAAATACCATATGATCTCACTCATATATGGAATCTAAGGAACAAACTGACAAGCAAAGGAGAGACAGACATAGATGGAGAGCAGGCTGACAGCTGAGGAGGGCAGGGTAGAGGGTGGAGGGATTATGCAAAAAGGAAAAAGTACTATGGACATGGACAACAGTTCTGAAGGGGAAAGTGGGTATAAGGGGACTAAATGGTAATGGAAAAATACAATAAAAACAAAATTGGTTTTATTTTTTATATTTATTTATTTATTTGTAGAGAGAGGGGAAGGGAGCAGGAGAGAGAGGGGGAGAAACATCAATCTGTGGTTGCCCCTCACGCCGCCTCCCTCACTGGGGACCTGGCTTGCAACCCTGGCATGTGCCCCAATTGGGGATCTAACTGGTGATCCTTTGGTTTGTGGGCCAGCACTCAATCTACTGAGCTACACCAGCCAGGGCTAGTTTTATTTATTTTTTAAAATGAGGCTTTTTAAAGCCTCATTGCTTCCTATGGGAAGCAATTTCAATTTTAGAGGACATGTCTCCTCCCACTTTTTGTTTTGGCATCACTTCCTCTGCTTGTTTAGGTTTTCAAGTCATGGCAGACAGAAAAGCTTTGGCAACTGAATAACACCCTGAACAATTATTCAGTGTTGCATTTACTGGCTCTATCATACTTCAGTAGCTGACCTTGGGCAAGTTACATAGCTTCTTTGAGCCTTGGTTTTCTCATCTGTAAGTTGGTATACTCATGTGTGTTTTGCAGGATCACTGTATCTAACACAGCTCTGGCACAAAGAAGCCCAGCAGCAAAAGTAAGTTACCTTTTCTATATAAATAAATAGGAGTATAAGGGACACCTTGCAATATACTGAGCACAGCACTGCCCAGTAGAAATCTAATGTGAGCCTCAAATGTGGGCCACAGATGTAATTTTACATTTTCTAGAAGCCACACCAAAAAGGGTAAAAGAACCAGATGAATTTAATTTTAATACTATATGGGGTGGGCAAAAGTAGGTTTATAGTTGTCATGAAGGTTATAATTGTTACAGCAGCTTTATTAACTCAACAAGAATAAACTCTGTGTTTTGGATACTCATAACTAACTATAAACCTACTTTTGCTGACCACTGTATTGACTTAACCAACTTAACCAATATATCAAATGTTATCATCTCAGCATGTAATCAGTATAAAAATTCATAATGACGTAGATGGTATTCTTTTTTTTTACACCAAGTCTTTGAAGTCCAGCATGAATTCTACACTTGTAACATATCTCAGTTTGGACTAGCACATTTCAAGTGCTCCTCAGCACTTGTGGCCAGTGCAGCCTTAGCACTTCTGATGGGATTGCATCTCTTTAAATTTTGACTTGATTTTTAGCACACATTTCAAGTTGTGGAAGTGCTGGGCCCAGTCCCATTCCTTTAATAGCACTAATTTAAAGCTGTCTCATACGTCCAATAGAATATGGAACCAATTATCCTAGAGCAGGAAGCCCCAATCTCTTTGTGAGGAATGGCTATTTTTCTTCTCGAAAATTTCAAACCTCCAAAACATTAGCATAAGTGGATAGAGGGGAAAGTGACAACAAAATTCCAGTGGCCTGGGGGAGGAGACCTTCCTGGTAGCTACACACTCCTCACTGATGGAGATCTAAGCAACCTGGGGACTGACTTATTAAGTTTGCCGTCACGTTTGCTGTTGGTGATCATGATGGTTGGGGTGGCGGGGAGGCTGTGCCTTGATGAATAGCCTGGATGGATGAAGGCTGTACTAGACTTGCTGGTATAAGAAACACCAAGTTTTCCAGATACTAGGTGGCATCTTAGATGTCAGAGTCCACTGCAAATACTGGTTCATGCTCAGTTAATTATGGGCACTAAGGAAATATTAATAGAAACTGATAAGACCATGTTTGGTGTAGAAACAGAAAAGCTGTAAACTCTGACAAGTCTCTGCATAACTAACCTTCATCTCTTGGGGCAAAGGAGAACTCAGTAAGGCCCTTTATGTTATCTATCCTTGGTTCATATTTTTGGAACTTGCTCCTACCCAGGGACTCCAAGGATTTCTTAAATGTCGATCTAACTATGGTATGACTTGAAGCACTCTTTAGTGGTTCTTGTGTTGTTGTCATTTTTTGTTCTGTTTCCTTCCAGACTTTTTTCTATAAACTTTTTGTGATCTCATAGCTGAGCTCAAATTTAACATCTAATTCTGTACCTCACTTTTTCCAACTTACAATGTTTGCATTTTCCATGTTTTCATGTTGACTTCATAGACTATGTTTTTAATGACGGTATAATGGTCCATTGAGTGTATGTGCCATGATTTATGTAACCATTCTCCATTATTATTGCCCTTCTGGATATTATAGGATGTAGTTTTGTTTTATAATACTTGGGCACCAGAAATATTACCATTCTTTATTCTTTAAAATTAAATTAAATCTGGGTTAGGCTAGAAAGTTAGGCTACATTTCACATATATACCCAAACTGGCCTAAACCATGAGAGAGATGCACAGGCCTCTAACTGAAAGTTCAGAGAAGGTTTCAGGGTTAATCTAGTTCAGTCGCCTGACATCATCGAGGACCCGGGTTCTTCCAGTTTTCTGCTCTACTCTCTGCACAGTTAGCTTCACCTTGGTATAAGATGGTTGTCAACTGATGCCACATGCTTCTTTGTGTACATTCAGAGATGGTGGGGGGGGGGAGGTCGAAAGACAGAGAGAGAGAGAGAGAGAGAGAGAGAGAGAGAGAAAGATTGATTCTTCCAGAATCTCCCTTCAAATAGCAAGTAAGCTTTCTTCACAGCCACCCCCAGAAAATGTCTCCTCCTTACCCATTGTCCTAAATTGGGTCATATGCCCATCCCTGCACCAAGAGCCATGGTCAGAATTAAGCTCATTAGTCTTTAGATTGAGACATATATCTCATTACTACAAATAAAGCAGGCTATTTCTCTCCAAAAGCACAAATGCACTCACTGCATGGGGAAGTAAACATAGTTACCAGTGGAAGAAGGAATGAATTTGTAGAGATCACTGAAATGTCTCCTGTATCTTCCAACTTCTGTTTTCAGCCCTAGAAACCAAAACACCCAGCTATACAAACACAGCTAATGAAATCCCCAAGGCACGGCAGTCCTAAGCCCACACCCAAAGGCTCCCCCTCTCCACTGTCTTTCAGGTGAGGGAAGATCAGCTACCCCTTTCTTCTGACCCTCCAAGAGCAACAAAAACAAATCACAGATTTAACTTCTCAACACAGTATCCTGCTACATCATCTCTGTACTTAAGCTGTTTTTTTTTTTTCTGACCTCCTTTGGGGAGAGAGAAAGACGACTAAGACTGGACACCTTCCTTAATTAGAAATGAAAGGACCAGTATAGACTTCAAGAGGATTTGCACCATCCAAAAAAAATATCAAGGATCTGGGTACTTGGGAGAATAGAGCTACTGCTTCAAATCACACACATATTTGATTAAAGGTAAATTTAGTAAAACTTTATTAAATAACCCTCACTCCTCTAGTTCACTGATCTTCACACTTTAAAATCCCATTTGTAAAAAAAGTGAGCTGGTGAATCTTGGATACAACTGAAATTTCCTTTAGTAGGTAAATGAATAAATAAACTATGGTATATCCAGACAATGAAATATTATTCAGCCTTAAAATAAGTGAGATATCGAGCCACAAAAAGACATGGAATAATCTTTCATGTACACCGCAAAGTGAAAGAAGCCAAAATGAAAAGGCTACCCCTTGTAGGATTTCAATTGTAGGACTTCTGGAAAAGACAAAACTAGGCATGCAGGCAGTGAAAAGATCAGTGGTTGCCAGGGCCTGGTGGGAGGGATGTAGAGGCAGAGTGAAGAGGACTTGTAGGCCAGTGAAACTACCCTGCATGATACTATAATGGTGGATATATGTCATTACACATTTGTCCAACCTCATGGACTGTACAACAGCAGGAGTAAATGCAAAGTATGGATTTGGGTTGATAATGATGCATCAGTGTAAGCTCACTGATTGTAACAAATGTATCATTCTGGTGTGCACTGTTGATGGCGGGGAGGTTGTATGTGTAGGGACATACAGGAACTCCCTGCACTTTTGACCTAATTTTGCTGTGTACCCAAAATGATTTTAAGTAACTAAGTCTATTTTTTAAAATGCAGGACAGTATTATGAAAGAACTGAGAATTGAGAGTCAGGAGACCCAGACATAAACCCAGGCTGTCATTTACATGCTGTGTAGTCTTAAATTGTTTTAACCTTTCTGTATCTAAGTTCACTCACATGTAAAATGGGGACAATATTAACCCATAAGATTATTTACTGTGAAGAGACAACCATAGGTACTTGCACAGAGCACACAGTAGGGGCTCAAAAAGTGCTGATTGAGCCCTGGCTGGTGGGGCTCAGTGGATTGAGTACAGGCCTGTGAACCAAAGGGTCACTGATTGGATTCCCAGTTTAGGACACATGCCTGGGTTGCAGACCAGGTCCCCAGTAGGGGGCGCATGAGAGGCAACCACACATTGATGTTTCTCTCCCTCTCTTCCTTTCTCTAAAAAATAAATAAATAAAATATTTTTAGAAATGCTGATTGAGAGTGAAGACAGAGGAGGAGGAAAAGACCAGGATTTCATAAAGTCAAGAGATGTTGGAGGCATTTTATAATAAGATTAATCAATTAATGGTGATGAGATAATCAGCAGTTATTTCTTTTTTGCCTCGTATGGTCCACTCCACTTTGGATTTGGGCTTTTGGCTTAATCAGATTATGATTTAATAAAATTTCCATATTGCTTCTATTCTTCAGAACACTACCCTTGCCTTTGTTCTCTTTTGAGAGCTCATGGGAAGGAATGCAGTTTGGGGTAGGTTTTGTCACTACTGTTGTCGGTTTTCATTTATTTAATAGATATTTACTGTGAACCTGAATGGTGACTGGTAGTTCTGTTGCACACTGGGGATGAAGCACTGCATAAGCCAGACTTAGGCCCACTGGTCACAGAGCTTATGCCTAGTGCCAAAGATAGGCATTAATTGACTTATACCAGAGTGTTTTGAGTGGTACAGTGGGAAGTACAAGAGAATCAGGAAACCATACAAATAGCAAGGGGAACAAATCACCTTGATGGTCAGGGAAGGCCTTTCTTGATGTCTAAATCTTGAGTATGCTGAGGTCTGAGGCATTAGCTAAAAGGAATAGGGAACTGGAATAGAGTGTATAGGGCAGGACAGCAGGTTCTTTCCTTTGAGTATGCATCAGAATGAGTTAGCTATTACTGCATATCAAATCAGCCAAAAATTTATCACCTGGAAACAGCAAACATTCATTACAACAGAGAGGTTTTGTGGGTCAGGAGCGCGGGAGCTACTTAGCTGAGTGCTTGTGACTCAGGGTCTCTCACAAGGTTATAGTCAAGGTGCAGGACAAGAGAGGGCTCTGCTTCTAAACCAACCTGCTTCCCGGCTCACTCTTGTGGGCTTCTCCAACAGGGCTGCTTTGCGGCATGCCCATGGCTTCTGAGACAGAGGGAAAGAGAATATGAACCTTAAGATGGGAACCTAAGTGTTTTTTAAATGTTCACTTTATTATTATTATTAGTTTTATAATACTTGTCCTCGAAAGTAGTTATTCTATGGATATAAAATATTTTTACTGATATCCTATTTTTCCATTTATATTATTTAAAAATATTTTCTTTTATATTTTGTAATCAAAAGGTACTTATATTTCCCTGTTTTATTGAGATATAATCGACATATAACATTATATAAGTTTAAGGTGTACCGTATACTGATTTGATATCTGTATATATCATGAAATGATTACCACAATAAATTTAGTTAACATCCATCAACTCGCATAGTTATAAATATTTTCCCCTTGTGATGAGAACTTTTAAGATCTGCTCTCTTAGCAACCTTGAAACCTCCCAGTTATAAAAGATAAATAAGTTTTGGGTATGTAGCATGCAACATAGTGACTATAATTAACAGTACCATATTGTGTAATTGACTTTATTTTTTAGAACAGTTTCAGAATTATAGCAAAATTAAAAGATAGTACACAAGTTCCCATACTCGCATTATCTTGGTACATTTGGTACACTTCATGAACAAATGTTGATACATTATTATTAAACAGAGTTGGCACAAAGTCCATCCTTTGTTCAGAATTCCTTAGTTTTTACCTAATGTCCTTAAATCTGTTCCAGAATCCCCTCCAGGATAGTAACTTATGATTAGTTCTCATGTCTCCTTAGGCTTCTCTTGGCTGTGAGAGTGTAGGATTTTCCTTGTTTTTAATGTCCTTTATAATTTTGAGGAATTACTGGTCGGGGATATTGTAGGACTGGAGTTGTTTTACAACCTAACCTTTGAAGTGAGATCTCATCACTCTGGCCATCCTTTATTTGTTAGAAGCTAGTACCACTAAATCTCTCGAGGGGAGGAATATTAAAGAATTTGGGGCTATATCTTTAAAACCCCCATAGCTTGTCAGGCCTTACCCCTGGAGTTTCTGATTCAGTAGGTCTACAATGGGGTTCAAGATTTTGCTTTCTAACAAGTTCCCAGGTAACTCCCCTGTTGCTGGTCTAAGGATCTCCCTTTGAAAGCCCCTGGGATCGGGGTCCCTGGGAAAGACCTTGGTGTGTACAGGAATATAAAAAGTTCATCAAGATCTATTTATTTCTGTCAAGACCTGTCTCTTGTAACTACAGCCTGCACTGAAATCAACCCACTGGTTTAGCTTCTGACTTTTGCCAATTAACACAAAACTATTAGCTAAAAATATACATTGCTGTATAAAACACATCCAATATCTTGTGTTTTTATTAGATATGATTTATTTCATTTGATTGTCACAAATACCAGGGAGAGAAATCATGTATCTTCCTCTGATATAAGAAGTAACTGGGACACAAAGTCTAAGTGACCCGTGTAAGCTCACACAGCTAGTTAATGACAGAACCAAGCTCAGGACTGGGTCATGTGAGCCCTGGGCCAGCACAATTTCTATTATACCAGGCTCTTTCATATTGTTCCCAATTCTAAGATTTGCCACCTTTTGGACAAACATCAGTAAAACTATGCACATGACAGTTTAGGTCAAAATCAAATCAACAGAATACATAGATTTAAAGTAGCATTTTGTTTAGTGGAAAAGGAAGGAGTGAAACAAGTGACTTTCAAGCTCAGAAAGATCAGCAGCATTTGTAGTTTCAGTTGGGAAACCTTCACTCTTCACCAATAATGAATTCTCCCTGCTCACTAACTCCCACAATAGCCACCAAGTACATTCTGCCTCCAGGTAGCATCTGACAAAGTCACCACAGACCACAGGTCTTCTTCTCTGCCCACATGGGCTCACCAACAGGATTGCTTAGCCGAGCTCCTGGTTGAAGAGGTTGTTAGTATGTTTCTTTTAGGCTTTGGTTTGGATGGAAAAGACCTGGTAGTCTGTATACGCTACCATCACCAAGATGACTTGAAAATCTAGAAGTGGGGAAGACCATTACTGTCTTTGAGTGTATGTATTACTGTTCTTTAAGTTCAGAATAGAGATACAATTGAATTGGGTGCATACCCATTGAAGGCACAAAAGCTAAGTATCAGTAGCTACACACCAAATAATCTTATTCACTGAGAAAACCAGTCCAATCAGAGCAAAGGAGTGGTTTCTAGCTAGGGTTTTACCTTTCCTTAGAGAACATCCTGCCTTTCATTTTAGTTGTTTACATGCTGCAAAAAAAAATAAATAAAATAAGGTTTGATAGAAATGGTTAAAGCAAGCGGTACTTCATTTATTCACAGTAGGAAATAATGATTTCATATACTGAATGCTGAGTTCAAGTTCACTCTTATGTAGACAAAGAATACCAACACACAGTGTAAGCATAGACTTTTTGTCCCCAAGTAGTGGTGCTGGTGGTGGGGAAGCAAGAAACAGTCCTATGGTAGTGGCATTGACAAGGGGGTATAAGAGATAGTGCCAATGACCTTCAATTTTACTGTTTCCAATGGTAGTGGGGATGGGAGCATGAAACAGTCAGTGACCTTACAATTAATCCTGCCCGTGGTGTCAGGGAGAGTGCACAGGGCGTCGTGGGAAGGAGGCACAAAACAAAATGTCAGTGACCTTAAATTCGATCCTGTCCAATGGTGGTGGTGGGTGGGTGAAACAGAGTCAATAACTTAATTAATTTTGTCCAAAGGTGTTGGCCCAGGTGGGAGGGAGGTGGTGGTTGGGGAACAGGGGTCACGGGCCACGAAGCAGAATTGATGACGTAAAAATCCTGTCCAAAGGTGTTGGTGAGAGTGGAAGTGAGAGGGTGAGGTGGGGTGGGGCCAGGGAGGGCAGGACACAAGTCAGTGATGGTACAATGAATTCTGTCCAAGAGTGAGGGGTGGGCACAAAATAGACCCAGTGAGTTTCATTTGATCCTGCCCAAAGGTGGTGGTGGTGGTGGTGGTGGGCGACAGGACGGCATGAAACAGCCACTATGGTTAAGTGGCAAACAGAACCTAAAAATCAAAGCATCAAGACGTACGGAACACCTTGAAGCACAACAGCCAGCCTCCAGGGAAGGCCTCCTGGAAGAGGTGCCATCGGTTGAGAGAGGCCGGGAGCAGCATTTAGGATCAGATTCTTTACGTGCCTCCAGGCCTTCTCCCAGCTCCTCTCAACCTCAGCTACCTTTCTGCCACCGAGGACCTAGTCGGAGGCCGGACCTGAGGTACTAGCACTTGCTTGCCCGGACCCGGAGCCAGAGAGGAAGGAACCGGCGCCCCACCACAGAAGAAAGCGAAGGCGACGGCAGCCAATCAGTGGGCGGCGCGTGCGGCCTTGCGCCCCTCGCGCCCCTCGCGCTCCCGCTACCCCGCTTCCTGCTCCCCTCAGGCGCCGCGTACGTGCAGCCGCTGGCTCCGCCCCAGGGGCGGGGCCTGGGGTATCCGAGGTGGGCCGGCAGGGGCCAGGGAGGTGCTGCTGCCTCCGCTGCTGCCGCTGCCGCTGCCACTGCGGCGGCTGCGCCCGCGGCACCGAGGACGAGGCTGAGGCCGGGGTGCGCGCTTGGCTAACGTGCCGAATCCGCGCCTCTCGGTTGCACCGGCCCCTGCGGCCGCTTGCGTGTCTCGGCTGGTGTGTGTGCTGCCCCGGCGAGGATGCGGCTGTTCCGGTGCCTTCTGAAGCAGCCGGTGCCCAAGCAGATTGAGCGCTACTCGCGCTTCTCGCCATCACCGCTCTCTATCAAGCAGTTCCTGGACTTCGGTGAGTGCAGGGCCCCGGGCCCCCATGGTCCCCACGGTTCCAATGGCCCTGGGGTGCGGGACGCTGTCTTCCTGGCCCTACACCATCGCGGGTCTCCACAGCTTTAGGGTAAAGTCGTGGGAACCGCGGGCAGGGCTCCGGGCTGTCCAGGGACTCTCTTGGGGACTCTGATTTCGGGGCGCGCAGGGACAAGGCCTTATACCCATACCGGTCGGGGGCCTACCCGTAGACACAGAACCTCATCCCGAATGGGACGCCCCAGACGTGCATGTTAAGCTTCAAATCTACTTGACACAGACCTCCCCGCCCTTAAAACTTCCCAGTGGAATGTGCGTGGCTTTTTCACGTTTTTATTTTTAGATTCTTTCTTTGGTTGGTTAAGAGCTGTTTAGAAACACCTTGAGGTCGTATAAATTATGCAACGGCATTTTGTTCCTTTTCTGTTTTAAGGTTCTCTGGGGTGGCCGGAGCCGCAGGACTCGAACTGCGTTATCTTCTTAGTGTTATGTTAAAATAGTTAGAGGCCTGTGCTGTTTAAGCCTTCGATGCTGGGGAAGAGGGTATGTGTGGGCTCTCAGCGTGAGAGCAGGGTTTGATACAACCCTGGCCTCGGTGCTAGCACCTTTGCTCGCACCTCAACTTTTGTGTCCCACCCACCTCCTCCCATGTTGAGTGGGCTGGGCTGGTGGGCAGCTTCCACGGATTGAGGTGGGAGTACAGCGGACCGGGCGCCCAGCCTGCCTGAGGCCTAGCTGAGATGGGGCTAGATTCCACTACCTTATGTTAATTGGATCATGTTTCTCCAGAGTGGTGCCTTTTCAACCTCTGGGTGAATACTCCTAATTACTGAATGCAAGAGAGCTGGTTGTGGAATAACTAAAGTCAACCAAAAGTGCTCACCCAGGTATCAGAATGGAACTCGGCATCCTTGAAGGAAAATAAAATAGAGCGGCAAAGATGTTCTAAGCTCCCAAGGGAAAATAGCCTATTGTTTATGTCTGTTCATTTCATGAATTTTATGTGAAGGAGTAGTCTCAGGTGGATATAAAAACTAAAGTGTGGAATAGGTAGAACACTTGAGGAAGACCCAATATGCAGAATGTGATGTCCATACTGAAGTTGGAATGGGAAGAGAGAAATAGGGTGACGTGGAAACCAGATTAAATTTTAAGAAACCAGTTTGCCAGAGAATGATGAGGAAAATCGAAGCTGCATCTTAAACTTCACTCCCCAAAGCTTTCCAGTAGTTTTATTCTACCATCTCTGACCACTTGTGAGAACTGCAGAGGTTTGAGGCAGCTACTGACTTGAGTTGAGAAAGAAAATGTCACTGTTGCTATAAATAGCAGGTTTGCCTTTTCTAATTTATGGTTTAGAGAAGATTCTGAAGGTATCATCCTGTCATTAGGGTAAACTGAGCCAGGCTAATTCACAATAAAGAGCAAAAGGAACGCAGAAACTCCCAACTCCTCTCTAATCGCTTGGCGAAATTTTGCCACATTTATTTCTATAACAGCTAGTATCTACCCGTGTTAATAGGTGTCTTGGCAAGGACAGTACAATATTTGAGTAGGAACACCATGGTGGAGGATAGTGTTATTGTGGAAAACCCCTGGGACTAGTATCTGGAAACGTTCTAATTCTCGCTCTGCCGCTATAGTCCTCAAGAGTGTGGCCTTGGCTAAGTGACTGAACCTCACCGGGGTTCACTTTCCTCATCAATAAAATGTGAGGATTATATCAGGTAATCTCTAAAGCACAGCTCCAAAACTCTCTGATTGTAATTTCAAAGGAAAAGGGGTGAGCTTTTTAGAAGAAAATGACCAAATCTTTTCCTAGACATTTCCCATAAAAGACCTCTGACCTGTTTTTGGGAGGGTGGAGGGTTACACTAATCCAGGATAATGGAAGAAGCATAATAATTGAAATCTTTTCCTAGGAGGGAGTCTCACAGAAGAGCTGTATAGAATTGTAGTGGAATTTCTTAGAAACTACAAGCTTCTTTGTAATAATACCCAGAGATGAATTGGGTGGCCAAAAGTCTAACCATTGATGAGAACTAGAAGAAGACAGTTGTCACACAAAGGCCGGCTCAGCTAATACTTTTCTCTTAGTTCTAGCTCCCGATACAAGTTCCGTTTGGGCAAGTGATGTGGGAGTTTTATAATTTAGAATGGGTGTGGGGGCATTTTTATGGTGAGGAGGAAGAAGAATAAAGAGGCTTTCCGCCAGTATGTGATTAGAGAAAACTGCAGGGGAGGACCACCTCAAGTTCTTCAAGGACTGGGAAGTGGGGAGCAAATGAGTCAGCAGGGTGGGGACAGTAGCAGGCTCCTGGGTATATGCTGGCTCCAGAAGGGGCAGCTGAATTGGCACCAGTTTGATATATTTTAAAAGACCTGTGGCTCAAATGAAATAGATGCGTGAACCATGTTGACCCACTGGCTGCCACCATGTGAACTCAAAGACTTTCTCCTTGGCTACTTTACAAACGGGACATCAATTTTTGACTAGAGTAACTGGACAGGGACCAGAAAAAGGATATATACGGGATTTTATGCTTCTGTATTTGTTAGAACCATGTCAACAAATACATTGTAGTTTCTGTGGCCCCTGGATCAGCTTGATTAGACTTTGGCTTTTTTTAATGGAAGATTTTAAGCATATATACAAGTAGAGAGTGTACTCCTTACTTAAGAGTGAAGACCAAAACTGGTTGTTACTTCAGAAGCAGTGCTCTTATTTTTTAAAATTAAATGTATTGGGATGACATTGGTTGAAACTTGTATGATCTTATTAAGCAGTGCTTATATTTTGAAGGACTCTTTCTCAGTCTCAGCACTCTTTTTTAAAAAAATTATTTATTTTGCAACAGAGAGGGGAAGGGAAGGAGAAAGAGAGGGAGAGAAATATCAATGTGGGGCTGCCTCTCATGCGTCCCCCACTGGGGACCTGGCCTGCAACCCAGGCATGTGCCCTGACTGGGAATCGAACCGGTGACCCTTGATTCGCAGGCTGGCGCTCAATCCACTGTCAGTCTCAGCACTCTTGCCATTTTAGGGCCAGTCACTGTTGTGGGGGTGCTGTACTGTGCTTATACTGAAGTAGCATCCCTGGCTTCTACCCACTGGATGCCAGTAGTAACACTCCTCCCCCAAAGTTGTGACAATCAGACAGGTCTCCTGAAGTGCCATGTCCCCTGGGGGAGGCAAAATCCCCCCCTGTTGAAAACCACCGCTGTAAAGTCTTTTTTTGATCAGTGGTTTGCATGCCTGGGCCCATCACCTCAACTTCTAATATAAATGGCCTGGGGACGGGGTGCTGGGTATTGGTATTTTTAGAAGATGCCCAGGTTCTAAAGCATAACCAGGGTTGAAAACCACTAATTCGATGGTTTGCATCTAGAGTACTGTCTGCCTTTCATCTGTGTGCCCTTTTTCTCTATGCCCTTTAAAATGAGAAGGGTTTCTTGAACTCAACCTTTACTTGAAACGTGGCCTTCCACACAGCAAAAGGTAGCAAGAATAGCAAGCAGTCTAAATGGAGCATGAGTTTATAATGGCAATAGTGCCTTCTAAAGGGTGGGATTTTGAAAAGTGAAATTTTCTTTTTGGTCTGAGATTATAGTCACACACTTCCCAATTCAAAAGGTTCTAAAGGACATAGACAGAAAAGTCAGTTTCCAACTTTTGTTTACTAACCTCCCTGTTTTTGCATCAACAGCAGCTTATGTTTTTGTTTGTACCTTGCTTTTTAAAACTTAATAACTTAGCTTTCCAGAGCTGTATCGGCAAACTTTTTTTCTTTTTTATGGCTTCTGAGAATTTATTTCTATGAGTGTGCTATATAACTCATTAACTAACTCCCTGTTGATGGTTAGGAGGTCGTTCTGAATCATTGCTATGACAAGCAGTACTATAATGAATTACTGTGCTTGTATGTATATATATGACAAATTCCTAAACGTAGGATTACTACATCAAAGGGCATGTGCATTTGAAATTTCTTTGAAATTTTTTAAAGATTTTATTTATTTATTTTTAGAGAGGGAAGGGAAGGAGAGCGAGAGAGAGAAACATCAATGTGCGGTTGCTGGGGGCCGTGGCCTGCAACCCAGGCATGTGCCCTGACTGGGAATCAAACCTGCAATGCTTTGGTTTGCAGCCTGTGCTCAATCCACTGAGCTACGCCAGCCAAGGCTGCATTTGAAATTTTGATAAACATTGTTAACCTGCTTTCCATAGAGGTTGTGTGTTTATCCTCACTGGAAGTTTGAGTGGGCCTATTTTGTTACACATTCACCCCATTTTTGTCAAACTTCGGATTAGTGAAAAATGGTATCTAGATGGCATTATTTCTCCTTGAGTAAACAGTTATTTACTTTAGCTTTTTTTTTTATGGGAGATTTTAAGCATACAGAGAAGTAGAGAGTATAGGATGATGAATTCCCGGGTTCATTATATTGCTATCCATGTGCTGGTTGGTTGTCTGTAGATGTGTGTATGAGCAGTGTGGTAGACTTTCTTATCAATGTCATGTTTGTTTTAGAAAGAAATATTTTTCTATATTAAGACCAACTGATCCTTCAAATTATGTGTTCTTTAAAGATTTGTTAGAATACCCCATGAAACCTTTTAAACCTAGTGTGTTTTGGAGGCTTGTTGTTTGACAACTTTTGGAATTGATCTGTATAGCTTTCCTGTTTCTTCTGGAGTCCATTTTGATATATTTTTCTAGAAAATGACCCTAGTCATTGAGATTTAACATGAATTTGCATAGCTGAGATAGTAGTCTCTTATCAGCCTTAATCTTCTCTGTGGCTCTTTCCTTTCTGTTTCTTTTGTATTTGTTCTCTCCCCTTTCTTGACTCAATTAGATGGTGGTTTATAGCAATGATTTTCAACCCGTGTGCCCCAATAATTTTCAAAACATGCAATCCCTGACTGCATGTTTTGACACTGACTTCTTTTCCCTTAGATTGCCAAATTTAAAAAATGACA